ATTATAATTATGTAAAAATGAAGCTATTTATTTATTTTTAAATTTGCAGCACTTTATCTTGTTTGAGTCAGAAGAACTCCTAGGATAGTGTTGGACCAAATTTCCTAACTTCTAGAGTCTTCTGGGAAGGAAGACATAACAATCCTCAACTCAGCTTCAAAATGAATAACATAAATTCTGGAGGGCTGTGGTAACCCTAGGTCTTTCCACTGTTCAAAAAATAATTCATTTGCCTCAGTGGAGGGGAAAGAGGAAGGTGAGGCTGTAACCTGTGTTTGACACAAGAACTAATTTGTGGGAGTGGCCTGGTTCAATAAAAGTGCAGTTATGCAGTTATGCAGCTCTTTATTAATCTGTTGGGAATAAAACTAAGCATGGGAATAAAACAGTGCAGCAGGAAGAACCTCTCTGTCCAGAAGTAGCAACAGACAAATGACACTGGCCTCTGACGACCAATCTTAAAAACAAAACAACAAAAAAAAATCTCTTGATGATGCCCGGGATGATGGAACTGCCTCTCAGAAGCAGAACAGAGGACCTTTTTGAAGGAAACAACCCAGATTCTTGGCAACGTATGCAGGGGAAAAGGAGAAGAATATTCAAACAAGAATCCAAACTTTTCTTTTTGTTTTTTCTTAACCAAGAAACAAGGCAGAAGCTGTGGGTTAAGACATACTTCCTATAAAGTTGTATAGTTTTTGTATCTGACTCCTAAACACACTGTACAAGCAGTGAAGGCAGTAACAAGGTTTACTATACTCATTGCATCCCCAACAGCCTAACTTCTATTTTCTTACTGAATACACAATTTGAGATATGTGAGCAAAACATTATTATTATTATTATTATTATTATTATTATTATTATTATTATTATTATTATTATTATTATTATTATTATTATTGTATTAGTGTTATAATAGTCTCCATATATGAACTGGGATCTCTTGTAACAGTGCCTAAGGCACTTGACTGCTAACCAGAAGGCTGGCGGTTCAAACCCACCAGCCACTCCTCGGAAGGAAGATGGGGCAATCTACTTCGGTAGTGATACTGTCTCGGAAACCCAAGGAGGGGTCGCTATGAGTCGGGTTGGACTCGAGGGCACACAACAACAACAACAACATATATGAACTGCTATGGGAATAGATGAGGAAGTGATTCATTCTGTTTGTATGGAGGAGAAATCACAAGAAAATAAAGGAGGGCTTTATACTATTTTATTCAAAAAATACTTCTTGTTTAACTAATCATCAGTGATATGGATATTATAAAGTTTTCAGAAGAGAAAATAAAGAAACACAGCTAAGTAGTCAACAGAAAATTGAGGTCAGAATTCCACTTTCCCAGTCCTGTAATACTAGGCAGTGTGTGAAAAATTCCTACATCTCATATACTCAAGGCATTGTGTGTCTGTTATTTCAATATGTATTAAAAAGTGTTTTAATAACTGGGAAAGAGGGAAGTGGTGGTTCAGCTGTAGAGTTCTCACCTCGTCAGTGGGAAGTCAGGGATGGCTTCCCCAGCGCATGCACCTCCAGTGCAACCACCACGCACTTGCCACTAGAGGCTTTTGTGTTGCTAGGATGTTATTTAACAGGTCTCAGCAGAGCTTCCAGGCTCAGATAGACCTCGAAGAAAGTCCTTGAGCTCTGCTTCCAAAAATCAGCCAGTGAAAACCCTTTGAATCACAATGGTCCAATTCTATTTTTCAAGGGGTCACCATGAATCAAGGTTAGCTTGAGGGCAATTAACAACATCAATAAATATGAAAAGATAAATTTTCCTAACCAGAAAACCAAACTCACTGCCGTTGAGCTGGATCTGACTCAAAGTGACCCCTCCTTGGGTTTCTGAGGCAGTATCACTATGGAAGTAGATAACCCAGTTTTCCTTCTGAGGAGTGACTGGTGGGTTTGAACTGCCAGGCTTCTGGTTGGCAGTCAAATGCCTTAGACATGATGCCACCAGAGCTTGCTAAATTGTCCTAGGCCCCCAAAAGTTATAATTCAATATTTCCTAATGTGCATTTCTCTGATACCTAATCCAAAGAGACTGTCCTGTGAATAAAAGTGTTTCAATGTCATATTTCAGTAGCTTTAAACACTCTATACCATTCTTGGATATTTACAAAGCTAATCGGCAAATTATCTTGATATGTAAACAAGTAATTTATCAAAGTTCTGTTTCCCCCTTCTGTTTTTCAAAAAAAACTAGTTAAAGTCAAGGGGTAGTCATTTAGTATTCAAATATTTAATTTTTAAATTTTCTCTCAGTGGGAAAGTGGTTGATTAAATACCTGGTAAGAAAACATGAGTTGGTTTTAAGTGTACTTTCAATTGAGATATTCATAATATATTGCTAAATAAAAGAATTGGGTAGCAGAATGGTATGTATATCATGACTGATTTTATGTTAAAAAATGTATATGTGCTTGCAAATAAACAGAAAATATCTAGAGGGACACCTGGCATGATGAAACTAAGCTATTAAGATCACCGGAAGAGAGGAAGAAATGATTTGGTAGAAGGAAAACTTAATTTTGTACAGTACAATAATTTTACTTTTTTACATTGTTATGTGCCTTCGAGTCAGACGCGACTCATAGTGACCCCTTCTTGGGTTGCCGAGGCAGTATCACCAGGAAAGTAGATTGCCCAACCTTCCTTCCGGGGAGTGGCTGGTGGGTTTGAACCACCAGCCTCAGGGACTACTTTACCAGAGCTAGTTTTTTTTTTTTTTTAAAAAACTCTCTAAGGAACTTGTAATAGTATAGCACAGTAATAGTATGGATAGATTAGAATTTCTGGGAGATGAATATGTGTTCTATCTACATAACCTAAAGCTCCATGTTAATCTTGCTCAATTTAACCATTGCCCTATACAGCTACAGTTACAATCACATAAGAATGCAGCCACTGAAACCACATTCCTAAGATCATAAAACCAAGACAGGAATGGCTCATAGGACAGGGCAACCACATTCCTCAGAACCTGAGACAAGGAAAGAACACTGCAAGAGAAATAGTGTAAATGCAAATTTATTACTTAGATGGCATTTCCTGATAATTAGCCATTATTGAGATATTTTCTAGCCCACTAGTTGTGGTCAGCATCAACCAATTTTGGAGCCAGCATTCTCCTGCCCTCCTTCACTGCCTGAAGAACTAAGATGGCCAATCTAAGACAAAACCAAGACTCAAACCAAGAGCAAATTGCAGAATACACCTGTGCAGAAGTAGTCATGGCATCCATGTTGATACAGACTCCATCTCAGAAAGAGACTCCACACACATCTAGCCTGTTCTGGTTACCTAGTGC